GCGTCTCACGAAAGGGACTTCCAACAGGTGGCTGCAGGCTTTTATCAACAGCTGCCTTCACCTGCTCCATACTGAAGAACAAAGGGCGAGCCAGCCAGAAAGGATTAGCAACAAGAAACTATGGCTGGGAACAAACCAACCAAGAGCCGACTGCCCAACAAATATGTAAGAGAAAATGGAGATGTTTTGGACACTTGTTGAGGAGGCCCTGGAATGACATCTCATACAATGCAGGTCATCTCTCGAGTGGAATACCGATGGTAAGCGACAAGTGGGTGGTGAGTGTGAGGGTGACATGGAGGAGATCGTGTGAATTGGAGGAGATGAGAGATTATGAGTAATGGTGGAACGAGGTGAAGTGGATGGCAGAGAATAGAAGAAAGTTGAGATGTGTTGTTGAAGCCCTGTGTTCCACTTGGAACCCAAGGGAATGATAATAGTAATAAAATAATTATTATAAGGTCACGGTATTTCTTCTCCAACAGACATGTCATTTTCCTTAGAAAATCTCCCATTTAAAGTATCACTTAAACTGATTTCAAAGATTTGAAGAATTGAATTATCGTCGTATGACTTTGCATAGAACTGTAACACTTCAAGTTGTCATAGTTCATAAATGCAACACAAATGAAGAGAAAGGAAAGTATAATTAAACTTTAGTACACGGAACTGTACAGCATAGTGGGTATTTAGTGGATATGGGAGATCACATAACCAATGAAAATGCATTTGTATTATCGAGAAGGTTTTTCAAGAATGTCATCAACAGCCTTCAGCGATTGCTTCTTCAAGTATTTGGAACCGCAATCAGACAGTCTGCATCTTCCTTACGCGGCTCAGAAAACGCAACACAAACGTTTTTATGGATTGGAATCATGTTTCGGTCTAATTAACCTTGATTCGTATACAACCAAATCCAAGATCAGCTAACATTGCTCTTCGAAAAAGGAGGTGCCTGGGCATGCATCATTTATGCTCTAGTCACTTCAATATGAAACAGCTACACAATCTTATCGGTTGACTTTCCATCCTTCATTCATACTATACCCTTATTTGCATCGTTTCTCACCATATTATATCGCCTAACCCCAAGGGGTAGGATGGAGGTATCTATGTTCAAAGATGGTTGGCCACTTCCTATCTCCCAAGTTCACCGGCTATATCTCATAGCCATAATGAAATACAGAGTGAGTCTCTGCACAGGTTAAAGTAACCGTATTACCACTAAACAGTTGAAGGCAATCAATAAAAATTTTTGTTTAACCAGTTTACTACTCTTTTATGCCTATTAATACTTGTTTGTTATTTACGAACTTCCTATAATTTTAAATTAAATTAACATATTCAAACAATTAACATTGAACAAACATTAATAAAGACAATGATTCGATTTTAATGTATTTTTAATTAAAACAACAAAGTAGAATATTATTAATCCCTCTTTAGCAGTCATATACATATGTATGTTGAGCGTCACAAGGTCAGTTGCAGAATCCTCATCAGCTTCGCATGTACTGCAGGTTCGAATCCCAGCTAGCGGACTTTTAAACTTTACTTAGTCAGAGATAAGCCTGGTAATGAGGAAGATTGAGCATGAGGTCAATAACCTCACTTAGTAAAATAGAACAACACTTTGGCTACTGGAACTTCAAAGCTTTAGCTTCAAGCCCTATGTTCCACTTGGAATGGAATGAAATGATATTAACTGTCTCGAGGCAGCCTTTAGGAAGCCGTGTACCCAGGTTTCATGCTTGTTGTTATTCATCAGCAAGGTATATATACAACTTCAAAGGAATTGATGTCTCCTTTGAGATTCAAACCCCACTGCTGTAGTCAGAGCCGTTATCATATTGTGCTATGCGGACTCCTGATTAATTGACCTCTTTTATCTGACCTTATGTGTCTGACTTAAATTCTATTACAGTCAAATAATTTCTCCAGATTTAAATGATTCATAATTTATTTAACTATTTTAACACAGGTGTCTTATGCATATAAACTTATCTATATTACTTATCTCTAATAGTGTTCAGTTAAATTTACAATTATCTAGGTAGGGCAGAAAGGATAAAATTAAAATATCCCTTCTATATATCTTCTATATTTCTATTTGAATTGAAAATATTGATTATAATTTTAATCGATAAGCAGATGTCTTGATAAATACCACGACCGACAACATTGACTACAGAAGCAAATCATTCCTATATATATTTATATATATATGTAAGTGTAAGTCTGTCTGTATGCGTGTGCACCAGTACATCAGTGTAAATTTCCTTTTAATTGAAAAAAAGAAAGAATTGTTTATTTGCCTAGCTAGCTAGCTAGCTAATCCGACTAGGTTGAATACAGATGTGTACAGCTCTATACGTGAGATACACATTTAGGTTGTTACTGCATTGTCTGCCTGTGTATTCAGCATCTCCAATTACTGGTATATATATATATATATATTGTTGTATGAATAATTTAATCTAAGCAATCAAACAAGTGATGAACTACATTTGTTGTCTTCTGCTACTGCTACCGCTACTGTTTCATCTGCTTTTACATTCTCTTGCCCCTCCCTCCCTATCCATTCATGCGTTAATAATCAATCACTCACCTTTTGCTTGTGTCTTCATCGGAATATAAACACTTAAACAAAAATTACCAGTCAATTGAATTAGATTCTGCCTTTAGTATTTCTTTTTTCTTTTTTTTTTGTATTACTGATGTCTGCATTTTAGACATTTGAAGGAATTAAATCAAGTGTGTTCAACTAACATTTTAACAGATGATTCATAGGTAAGAATTATTAGTCTTTATTGTTGCAGCTATTGTTGTTTCAGTCGATGTTATTTCTAGGCAATATCAACCATTGACTATTGAACACAATTAGCGGGAAAAATAAAAAAAGTTCAACGTGCATTTGCAACGAAACCAATAACTTGTATCGATTAAAAACTCTAATTGGTACTTTGATTTCTTTCCTCTCACTAAGGGACTTCAGCGTTGTTTTTGTGATACAAGAGGTATAAGGTACACCAGTTGCAGAGAGGTTAAAGAAAACAAGAAAGGTTGTATCCATGCTCTTTGAATTTGATTTGTGCTGAATACATATTTCAGTTTAATGAGTACTCTGCTTTAATTATTTGTTCTGTGTTAATATATGTGTTAAACTTGGAAACTGTGTTAGTAAGTAATTCCATATTAGTTGGTTTATTAGATGTATCACACACTGAGGGAAACAGTATTATTTACTGGATGACAAGGTTTCGAACACAATTTATTGTTCATAATCATATCGATTATAATCACACGACTTCGAAACTTGAGTTCTATAGTTTTCTTTGTCCTCTCCTATTTGTCGTCGTCAGGGTAGTAGAATTTCCTAGATGTCGAGGTGGACAAGTGTTGAATCATTCTTATTACACGTATTTGCAGTTGATTTGATAAATCAAGCTTCTGTTATCAATCTCTCCCTCCACCCTGTTACATTCGATTTTAAAACTGTCATCTCATCCCATCCTATTGTATGGTTGTGTGTAATTGCATGTGGTGAGTGCTATAGCTGAACTATCCTCTAGATTTCTTGTCTTATTCTGGTCAAATAATCTAGATTTTGCTAAGTTTTTATGTTCAGCTAGTCTGATTGCCCCTATTCTACTAGTTTGACCTATGTATTTGACCTAACAATCATTCCAGCAGGGTATTAGATAAACTAAATTGTTTTGTTTTAAAGGTTCCACAGGACCTGTTAACCGACAAAGCTTGTTTTTAATTGAGTCAGACTTGTGGAACATAAAAACCTAGCAAAATTTATATTAGTTGACTCGAATAAGATAAGAAATCTATAGAATAGTTCAGCTACAGTACTACATGCAATTACACACAACCATACAATGGGATGGGATGAGATGACAGTTTGATGAGATTAATGACAGAAGCTTTGTTTATCGAATCAACTGCAAATATGTGTAATAGGTATGATTCAACACCTGTCCACCTCGACATCTAGGAAATTCTACTACCCTGACGACGACAAATAGGAGAGGACAAAGAAAACTATAGAACTCAAGTTTCGAAGTCGTGTGATTATAACTGATATGATTATGAGCAATAAATTGTGTTCGAAACCTTGTCATCCAGTAAATAATACTGTTTCCCTCACTGTGTGATACATCTAATAAACAAACTAATATGGAATTACTTACCACTATCAAGGTGCCCAAGTTTTACACATATATGCAAATAGCTTCAATCTACTACTCATTGAAGCGGCTTCATTTCATAATAAAGTTTAACTTGTTTCTAAAAAGCATCTTCAAAAAATCAACATATGTGTGTGTATGTGTGGTTTACTTCATTCCTTGTGTTCCAGAATTGCAGCATAGGTCTTCAAAGTTCTAGCCTTTGAAATTTCAGTAACACGGTGGTAATGTTTCCTATACTGTTTCTACAGGTTGGAGCTAAAAGCATCATGCAAAATCTTTTCTCCTTTCCGAACTTATTAGAAATTCAGTAAACTGGTCGATATTTCAGAGTGCATCAGCTGGGAATCAGACTCGGACGATATGAGCATTCTACCAGAGAATTATTGGCGGTCAAATTGTAGAAGGCGAAGACTTGATAAACAAATGTTTATATTTAAAGCAGTTAGTTACCTTCATGAATTGTGTTGTCGAAATGTCTATATGGCTATTGGTATCGCTGTACCTTACTTTCAAATCAACATATGTGCACAGATCTTCATATTGTGGTGATTCTGGCCTTAAAAATTGTGTTTATTTGTGTTCCTTAGCGCGTCTCCAATGTATCTCCGCAACTCTGTATCATTTGCCTTCTCTGAAATCAAATGTATCTCCTTGCTATTTGGTGTTTTTTATGTCTTTATATACTACTGATATATATTATCAGTAGCATTCGCCCCACAGCGGTACCTCAAATATACACATACACTTAAAAGAACGTTAAAACATGTTAAAAAAACATAAGTGAGTTGTTTAAACACTTACATTACATATCCATCCATAATAATTTATCTGGTTTTGCTTTTCTTTCAGGTAAAATTGTATCCAGTTGTGTAATCCCAACACTTTATGCCTTTTGATTTCACCAACAAATACATGCTCAAAAGCTGAGGAATCATCAACGCTATTCTCGTCAACATATGTGTATACATTTAATTTATTCAATTAATTATTTTGTATTTTATTTTATTCCACACAGTATAGGCATATTGTTTTTGTAGAACATTGGAAATTCAGCCAAACCCCGTTGTACACATTAACCAAAAGAATTTTTTTGAAAAAAGAGAAAAGAGTAAATAGAAAAACAGTCGTAAGTATTTTTCAGAATATAAGGCATTTACAGTAGTTTTACTATATAAGGAGGGGACTCCATAATGGATAAGATTTTATTTTGATAAATCACACAGTGTTGTACAGTAATATTAAGTGATAACGTTTCGAGCACAAACTATTGCTCATAATCATATCAAGTTACTCACACAACTTCTTTCCTTCACTTATATACATGTGTGGAATCGATTAGATATTGGAATAAAATTCAATATGAGATAATGTACATTCCGAAATAATAGTACGAGTGTTATTAATCCATTACAATTAGATGGGAAATACGACGAGTTTTTTTATAGTCATAATAAGGCCCCACGTAGGATTCTCCGTAAAGCAGGAATTAGGGTGGCATTCAAACCCACAAACTCACTCAGGCACAAACTTTGTAGGTTGAAAGATCCGGTGAACCCAATTAAACAAAATATTATAATTTAGAAAATACCCTGCAATGACTGTGAGCTAAGTCAACTACATAGGTCAAACTAGTAGGTTAGGGATAGTCAGATTATCAGAACATGAGAATTTAGCTAAAGGAAGAATGCTTGACCCTAACCGAGAAGACAAGTAATTTAAAAAAAGCTCAGCAATTGCACTACATGCATTAACACACAACCACACAATAGCATGGTGGGAGAGGGTTAAAATTCTAAAAAGTAATATAGGTAGGTGGAGATTACGGAATCCTTATTCATCGAGTCTACACCCAACACATGCAGCAGAAACGACTCAACGCAAACACCAGAGACATGGAAGATATTAGTACCGCCGGTCAAATCAGAAGAGGATAACAAATAATCTTAAGATTCTATTTTAATTCACATACATTATAACATTCTAAAAAGTTACTTATTTTTACTGTGAAAAACATCTTATCTTTCATCTGACTGTATTTGGTTGGTAACGCTAATATAATTTCTGGATGTACTTTATCTTAAATTTATTTTTATTCAAATGTCCAATCCTTAATTTTTACTCATGTATGTATATGAAGCAAGAAAGTTATGGGAGTACCTTGATATGATTATGAGTAATTAATTGTGTTCGGAACGTCATCAGTTAATATTACTGTACAACAGTGTGTGATTTATCAAAATAAAATCTTATCTATAATGGAGTTATACTCTACCACCACAGTGATCAAGTTTTTTCCTTATATATAAGTAATCTTCTCACGAAATTTATCTTAAACTACATCTAACAGAGGAGGAACCGTGTAGTCTAGATTTGTGGATTCTTACCTGGTCATAGCAGTTAAGGAAAATAGTGGTAGATTCAGCGAATGAAATCAAATTAACGGTTTGCAAGTTAATTTGCCATCCTCAATCTACACAAATAGTTCATGTCAATTACGAGTGTTTGTCAGATGGGTCTCAAACGTTTCACTCGTTCGGTTGCTGAGTTCATCACCGATGTATTAGGTTCAATACAGCTCAGACAACCGAATCAATTCAAATAATTTGAATACAATCCAATCTGCGGTAAATATATCATCATAGATCCAGAGGGTCTCAAAATTTCATTTAACTCTGATTTTAATAAAGGATCATTTTTTATTCATGCTAAAAACCTGTGTGAATAGCTCCATGGATCATTACTGTTTCATTCTTAGCATATTCAACAACGGAAACAGAACTACCAGTGAACATCAACCCCCCGACGAGAACAGAAGTCCTGAAGGCAATCAAGATGCTAAAAGCTGGAAAAGCAGCAGGACCAGATGGAATCCCAGCAGAAGCATTGAAAATGGACCTAGCGACAACAGTGGACTTGATGACACCACTACTGGAGAAGGTGTGGAAAGAGGGCAAGGTACCCGAGGATTGGAAGAAAGGATACTTATTCAAACTGCCAAAGAAAGGAGACCTAAGTCAATGCAAGAACTGGCGCGGAATTATGCTCCTGTCCATCCCAAGCAAAATACTAAGCCGCATCATAGTGAAGAGAATCAAACAAGCCCTGGATGAAAAACTTCGACCGGGACAGGCTGGATTCAGGAGAAACAAGTCATGTATTGATCAGATCGCCACATTACGGATCATCATTGAACAGAGCTTGGAGTGACAGTCACCTCTCTATCTCAACTTCATCGACTTTGAAAAGGCCTTCGACAGCGTCGATCGAGAGGTGATTTAGAAACTACTTCGCTACTACTGTGGTGAGAGCAAGCTGCTAGCCAATTGGTAGACATTGATCTACGCTGATTGGTGGAAATTAATCTAGGCTGATTCAACAACCGATCACAGCTGACCTAGACGTGGACAAATATGATTCGCAGACAAGTGGCTCGCATTTCCGAGAAATATCGAAAACGAGAAAGCAGAAGACTGCGTTTTGTTTGCAATCAACCAATCAGAAGACCGCCTTCTTTCTGCGGGCAGAGCCTTATTAATGTACATAAAAATCTATAAATACGTGTTGATTTTTCGTAATAAACGATCTGTTGCCTGGCCCTTGTCTTCTGTTGTTACACTACGTGGTGTCACCGACAGTTATACATCTCATCCAATAGTTGTACGACAATACTTCATACGAAGTAATCCACAACGGGAAACTTACGGAATCCTTCAAAGTGAGGACAGGAGTAAGAAAAGCTGGCTGCCTACTATCGCCAATGATTTTCCTGATTGCAGTAGATTGGATAATGCGACAAACAGTGGGCAATGAGGAAACAGGCATAAAATGGACTCACACAAAAAACTTGGAGGATCTGGACTTCGCCGATGATATGTCTTATTTCCCACAAACTGGAAGACATGCAAGCGAAAAGCAACAAGCTAGCAGAAGAAGCATCAAAGATAGGATTTCAGATGAACATAGAGAAGACAGAGGTGATGAAGATTCCCGGGCAACACCACCAACAGCAACAACAACAACAGACAACAATCAGCATAAATGGGAGGAACCTGAAAGAAACAACCTCTTTTACCTACCTGGGAAGCATCGTTTCAACTACAGGCGGATGGAAATGACGAGGATATCAAAGCAAGGATCGGAAAAGCAAGGCAAGCTTTCACTACTCTCAAGTCTGTGTGGAGGTATCAAAAATAAGATCCGGATTTTCAACTCCAATGTGAAGTCAGTGCTACTATACGGATCAGAGACTTGCACTGCGCGTCATAAAGAGCATCTCAAACAAACTACAGACTTTCATTAACAGTTGTCTTCGCTCAATACCACTCAAGATCAGATGGCCGACTAGAAAAGATCAGCAACAGAGATCTCTGGCAATGAGCGAACCAACCAGGAACGGATTGTGAAACAAATAGGCGGGAAGAAATGGAGATGGATTGGTCATACTCTCAGGAAACAAACCATCAAGTGACATCCCACGCCAGACCGTCGCTCGAGTGGAACCCGAAAGGGAAGCGGCGAGTTGGTCGTTACTGCAAGGGTGACTTGGAGGAGGTCATGTGAAGAGGAGACGAAAGCGTGTAGGCAGACGTGGAGCAGGTGAAAACTTTAGCAGAAAACCGACCGCAACGGAGACGTGCAGCTGAAGCCCTATGTTCCTCTAGGAATTAAAGGAAATAATAATAATAAAATAATATTCAGGTTTCTGAAATTTGAACTCATTCGAGGCAATAGATATTAATGAGTCAGTAAGATTAAAATTGGTTGAATACTAAGCACCCTTTCAGGTGAGGCTTGATTCTAGAAATCTGATGAGTATGTGAAAAAAATAAGACAGAAATGATGGGGGGGGAGTAAATTACACAGATTTTAAGATAAATAAAGAATAATTTTCAAGTACTGATTTTATAGGGAATTTTGTTTGATTGGTCGGAGGATTTCATCATGTTCCCGGCATCAGTCAGAGAACCGTTAGAAAACCAACCGGGAGTACTGGACAGCTGTTTCGTCAACCTAGTTTGGGACTCTTCATCAGTGTGCGCCCACCGAGGTTCGAACCAGTGATTATCTGGTTTCAAGGCGAGCTCGTAGACCATGGATCCAAGTGGCTTATGGTCTGTGATGAAATGCTCATGATGAAATCCTCCAATCTATCAAAAGATGATTTTATTATTGACATTGAAGTTATATGGACTTCAAGGTATAGATGACTTAGGTCCGATAGTAACCTCCATCATGCCATAAGATGTTATCTTTAGTGGAGGAATGAATTTCATCAAAATGCCCTACTAACTGATAAAGTGAATGGATTAGAGAACAGCTTCAAATATCCTCTAATTGTACAAATTTGGTTGAGAGATATTTAAAACACTAATTGTATTAGACAGTTGGAGGCAATAGGCAGGAAGCCTTGCTTGACCTAGGTTTCGTGCTAGTCGGCACTCATCAGTCAGCAAGGCGTATCTGCAGCCTTCAAGGAACTCATGTCTCCTCTGAGATCCGAATCCGTGTCACCCGGTGTAGTGCTGAAGTCAGAGACGTTACCACTGAGCTATTCAGGGTGGCGCGATTTACCTCCTGTAGCACTGTATTAGATGGCTGGAACATCTAATATCAGCAATTCAAAGTGCATCGTAATTGCAAGCCACCTAATAGTGGCCACATTGTAAACTAGACTGATAGGACTCAGTCTGCCCCAAACAAAGGACTATATACATCACGCTAGTTACTAGTGTCCAATCAAAGTAAAACAATAACTGTTTCTGAATGAAAATATGGTTTATAAAGCTGAAAATATTCACTGCTAAAGGAATATCATATCGGTGTGATGTAGTCATACTTCACATTTGTCGATTCGATGTTGATACTGATCACTGATGACTTCTAACCCCGCCCCAAAGAATGGAAGAAAATGAAGACAGAAGCAAACAAATAATGTATACC